CCTGGCTGGCTGGGGCTCGGTCTAGGCTGGCTTTGCAGAGTGGGGCTCCGGGGGGACGCTGGGGGGCCAGGGTGGAGATGGAGCGCTTCATGGGGCTGGATTCTGGGGCAGGCTGCAGGCAGGGCAGGGGAGAGCCAGCAGGCTGTGAGCAGATCAGGCAAAATGGGGACAAGGCCAGCACCCCATCATTCTGTCTCCTGGTAGCCTTCTGAAGAAGCCCCCCACCCTGTGCGACCCGCTGGGGGCTTTGCTTGGGAACCCAGTGAGAAGGGTCCTGTCAGTGACACACAGAAGGGGGTGCCCATCCAGCTGGGGAGGAGGGGGAGGGGACAGCCTCTGTCTAGCTGCAGCCAGGGCCCAGGGGATGGGGCAGCCAAGGCCCAGCAGCCAGGCACCAGAAATGGAGGTGACAGGCTGATCTGTGGTCATCTGGTTGGCTGGGGGCAGGGCCAGGCCTAGTGTCCTGGGTCCCTGAGTAGGGGAGGACTGTGTGCCCCCCAGGCTTCCTCTGCTCCTTGCATAGGTCCAGCAGGTGATGGTCCCCAGGAGGAGTCAGGCCATCACCATGTGCAGGAGCAGTCCCTCCGTCCATGACCCTGAAGCATACCACACACCTGTGTCTCGGCTGCAAGGCGGGGCATGGATGCTGCTCGGCCCTGACTCTCCAGCCCAAGCTGGGGCTCCCTGGCAGGGCCACTCAAGGCCATGTCCTGCATCTGGACATCCATAGCCTGGGGGCGACAGGAGCCATCAGTCACCACCCCCACCACAGGTTCCCCTTTCACCCCACCATGGGCTCCATCCTGCGCCCTACCCACAGGGCCTCCCCATCACCCACCACACAATTCCCACTCCCCACACAGGCCCTTCCCTTCACCCCCACACTACCCTACCCCCACCCCACTGGCCTGGGAGCCCTTACCAATTTTCCAGGCTCTGCCACAGTAATCTCTGCCGAGTGGCCCCGCTCCAGAGGTGTCCGAGCCTCAGAGGGCAGCCCCTGGGTCCGATGAGTGCCCCAGGAGACTGACTCCTTGAGGCCACTCCCTTGTGTCTGTCTACAGAGGAGAGGGGGCGTCCAGTGAGCCCTGGACTGCAGACCATGGTCCCCCGGCCGTCCTGCTCTGTGGTAGGCCCAAGACCGAGGCCCCAGCCCCCAGGGTTCTGAGCCTGCTCCTTGGCCCCTTGGTCAGAAGGCAGAGCAAGAGCAGAGGAACCCATCCCCCTAGGCCCTGCTTGTTTCTCCCACATAGTAGGGTCCGATGGACCCTTCTCCTTGCCCCCAAACCCACTGGCCTCACTCTATATCTTTGGCCCCCAGAGGGCCTTCCATCGTTTAAATCTCTGCTCCAGCAATCCGTTTCAGGGAGCCTTTCTAGTCACCCCCACAGCCTCCGCTCACAACGGCCACCTTAATGTCTTTGTGTTACTACAGGCTGTGTCTCTGCCCAGATGACCGAGTAAGCCCAGTGTACTGCTAGCTCTGCCCCAGGGCTTTCTCCTGACACACAGCGCTGACCACGGCTGGCCACGGCTGCACGGCACTGGCCACGGCACCTGAGTTAGTTAATTGTGCCAGCCTGGCCGATAATCACATGTGGGGCTAATTGAAAGGCGGAGGGATAAATGGGTGGTGAGCCTCGCCTTTCTAGTTCTCGGGTCTCTTGTTTTGTGATGGTTGCACCGGGTGCAGCTGCCTTAGCAGTTCCCTGCTTCAGCTTGCAAGATTGATTTCCAACAAGACATCCCCAAGGAGAAGCTACATGGACCTATCCTGATGCAGACCTGGGTGCTGGAGCAGCTGTGTGGAGACCCCTGCTAGTGCTGAGACGCTTGTTCGCTTGTTCGTTAAATGACTCAGCTTCCCTCCTGCAGTAGGCATCATTGCCTCTGTTTTGTGAGGTGAAGGACTTTGTGGACTGGTGTTGGGTTAATGGGTTAATGTTGGATTTGTGGGATTGGGCAGCATTGGGTTGGGATGTTTTGGTGATGCACATTTTCTTTACATAAAACTCTCTTATACATGAGTTGCTGTGGATTTGTTTCTCCAAAGTACCTAGACTACTACAGCACCTTTGGGGGGTGGCCTGCTAAACTGAGGGAGCCGAAGGGAGCGGCTGCTCTGAGGGAACGGGCGTCAGAGGGAGAGCAGCCTGTGTCCAGCCAGTACACACGTGCCGTCGTCCATGAGCTGGCTCAAGGAAGGCCTGTCTTCAGCCAGTTAGGCAGGGGTTCTCTGGTTGGCAATAAAGAGTGTAATGGCTTGTGGAGAAACCGCAGTCTGGGAACTAGTTGAAGTTCATTTTCTGGGACTATAAGTGTGGCTCAGGTCAATCCCAGATGACAACTCATCACCATGACCCCTCCTGCGCCAGTGTCTGTGCCCAAGAGAGAAGGAGCATGCGTGTACATGCACACCCAGACACACACACACACACACACACACACATAACGTACAACTTTGCTTGAGACAATTGATGTACAGAATGTTCTAAGAGCAGGGAGAGCACCCAATAAAATGATTTAAAAAAATAAAAGAGGAGCTGATAACAAGGGCTCCAATAGTACTCACACACACAGACCTGCCTGCTACACAGTCACACGCACTCTCAGACTTCAACACCCCACCCCCCAACACAGAACTCACACAGACCAACCCGCCCACACAGTCACACACCTTCACACACACACACACACACACACACACACACTTCAACATCTCCACACTCACACACATTCAGCCTTCAACCTACACTGGCAGACTTACACACACACTCAGTCATACATAGTCACACCATCACACATTTGCACACATACACATTCACAAACAAACCTACACACATGCAATCTCATATACACATTCCAACTTACATACATTCACAGACTTAAAATACACTGACTCATATACACAAAAACTTACACATGCACACGACACGGACTTATCCATACAGGCACACACAATCAGACACACACCCTCAGACTTACATACATCTACACACACAGACTCACACACAGTCGTACACATTCACACTTGCACACATTCAGACTGAAACATATGCAGACTCGCAGACACATGCATACTATTGCACAGTTACACACAGGCTCTCCTAAAAGACACAATTCACACCCACATCTACTCTTCCCTCTCATGCTCACATACGTTTACACACAGCTCACTCACGCATGCACTCAGAGTCCACAGCTCCACTTTAAATGCAAAGACAGCTTTCCCACTGAGACAGGCTGCCTGTGCCTTAGAAACAGCTCCCCGACAGCCCTGAGGGGCCCATCCACAGAACGCCTAACTGGGACTGCTTTCCACATGCTTCCAAGTGTTCTCGAGCAGGCTGCCACCCAACCCTCCCATGCGTGCCCGGGCACTCTGCAGAGCCGGGCTCTCCTCTCGGAAAGAGGTATGGCCCATGGGAACCTGGAGGGCAGCACCTGCTTGGGCCCAGATGACCAGGTTCAGGTCATTATCTGTTCTCCAGCCACCGGTCGTCTTCATGAAGTTGTCCCAAACCCTCAGCCTCAGGGAGCTTTACCCTCACTTGTTATCCAACAGACGCTCCCTACTGACATCTGCTCTTCAGCATTGTCAAGAGCTCTTCCGCAGCAGACTTCCCCACGCACGCCGCCATTTCATTCTCTTGAGGACCTCCTCCACAAGTGCTGATTGAGGACCAGACAAAACGAAACCCCTGACAATGTCCATCGCTCCCCGTTCACCATGATGCGGCTGGTTAGTCCCGTTGTGCGGCTCTTTGTTTTCTTTATGTTGAGGCGAGATGGCTTTGCTCCTCCAGAGACCCCAGCCTAAGATCTGTCCACACAATGGACTGCTATTCCGTCCCAAAGACAGGTGAGGCTCTTGAAAGCTACAACCACAGGGATGGACCCTGAAGACACCGTGCTGAGTGAAGTAAGTGACATGGGACAGAACAAATACTCCGTGGCCTCTCTTATGCCACGTGTCTAGAATAGGGCAGGAGACACTAGTAGACTAGTGGTCATTAGGTGGAGATGGGGAGTTCTTGTTCAATGGGTAGTTTCTGTTTGGAATGATGAAAACGTTTTGGAAGTAGATAGTGATCATGGCTGTAATTATATGTGACTATAATTAATGTCACTGAATTATACCTTGAAATGGTTAAAATGGACAATTTGTGATATAGATCCTATTACAATAAAATCATTAAAGAGTAAAATAAATAAAACCAATGACAAAGCCGAGGCAGAAGCATATGACCCCTGGAGAAGAAAGCCTGAGTGTGCAAGGCAGGAGGGAACCTCTGGGAACACCAAATATGGCTCCATCAGTCTGTTTCACAGCTGCAGAGAAGCAGCGTATATAAGCTACAGAGTGAAGTATTTAAAGAATTAACCAAAAGCAGCAACAACTGTTGACGAGTTTTCTGACACCACAGACAATTGTTGGCTGTACTACCCATGGGTGAAGTAGAGGTGGGTCCAAGGGAGCGAAGTCCGTTAGTTCCCGAAGTGCGTGACACACCCTGGGGGCTCCTTGTCCTAGGCCAGCGGGAGGATAGCCAAGCCAAACCAGTCGGAAGCAGGCTGGTTCATCCTCCCTTCTCCATCTTCAGTGACACCCCCAAGCCCACCTTGCAGCTGGGGTACTCACACAGCTCCTCCGTTGCTGAGGGAGGTGGAGCTCTTCTGCCGGAGGAAAACTCTGGCCCCTCGGAGCACAGCTGGCTGTGTCTGCTCCAGGGTGGCCTTCAGAGGGTGGAACAGGGACACAGGGCCCATCTGCGGGGGGTGCAGAAGGAAGAGGAAGAAACCAAGGGTGGGGAATGAAGCCCTGGTGGATTCTCCTTAGCAATTCTGCTCCCATGGGTTCGGCCCATGCCTAGCACCTGAGGGCCACCTGCCTTCCCTGTTTCCATTCCCGTCCCTGAGACGGACAGTGTCTGCACCCAACCTGGTGAGAAGAGGGGCTTCAGGAACCCCAATGCACTTCTCACAGCCAGTTTCCCTAGCTGCAGAACTAGGGGCTGGACCAGATCACAGGTGAAGGGATTTCATCTCATCACTAACTTAAACAGCTTGGCAGAGATGTCTGGGTCCTGGGGCTGAGCAAAATCCTGAGATGTGGGGGCTGGGAGAGATTGCTGTGATAGATTAGTGATGTCTGTATCAGATGTTGGCATGGAAGGTGGTGCCATGAGAACCAGATACATTTCCGTCCCAAGGTGAGGGGGGCTGTCCCTGGTGGTGGTCCCATTAGGTTCTGAAAATCTAGAGAACTGTCCGGAAAGTGAGCCTACATAGACCACTCAGAGAAAGACAAGACCGTGCAGGAGAGTGGTGTCTGACGATGACATTAGGGAGACTGGCCCCCAAACCAACGTGATCAATCACGACTAGAACAAACCATGTTCCTGAAACCACACAAGCAGAACCCAAGACCCGCAGCCATCGCGGCAGCCTCAATGCAGAGGGACCCACTTCACACCTCTGATTCTGCTTGTGTGGAGAGAGGACACATGGACCTTCTACCTCTCAAATCACCCTGGCTTCCTTTTCTCAACCCCTGATCCTCAGACCCTGAACACGGTGCCTCAGACCACAGCTCCACAGTGAGCTGCCAGCATCTAGCCTGCGGGGCCTTTCTCACTGGAGACTGAAAGGTGGCTGATTGGATCTCCTGCCTTCCTTCTCCAGGAAGGGCCATGAGCTTCCCACCACTAGGGAGGTCAAGCAGCTCAGAGCTACCTCTTGGGAACCCTAGAACCCCAGTACCTGGGACAGGCCTCCAGGGGCTTGGTGAATCTGGTCTCTGGTGGTTTTGTTCTGTTTGTAGAAGTCAAATATCATCAGAGCTGCGTAGACTTTCCCCACTGTCATCTCATCGGCTGGAGAGAGGAGCAGGGAGAGGTGGATGGGGTGAGCCCCCACGAAGTTCCTGAACTGAGGGGCATCAGCAGGTGCATGGCTCGCCCCCGCTGTCCCACCCCAGCTGTCTGACTGTTTCCAAGGCCACCTGGCTCTTGACTAGGCCCCCGCCCGCCTCAGGTTCCTCCTGTAGAAAGTAGAGCCAGTTTCAGTCTGTGAGCATTGAACCTTCCTGCACCTCCAGTGAGCCCCGCGAGGTCAGCCGCCTGGGGTCAGGGTCTTCACTTACGGGCCTTCCTGGATGCTCCTGCAGCCCTCCCCGCTCGCTCAGCCTCTGAACAGATCAGGAAAGGTGGAGTGAGGGCCTTCTTGGCCGGCCACTTACGTTTATGGGGGGGCACCAGCAGGTCCAAGGTCTTCTGGGGCAGGGTGGCCCACACAGAGGCAATCTCCTTTCTCAGCTCTGCGTCACACTGCTGCTGCTTTGTCCCAGCTGGGCCAGGAGAGGAGAGACAAGCATTAGAAGGCATCCTATAGCGCCTGGTGCAGGCCTAGGGATGGGGGTGGGGGGGGGGGGTGGAACTGGCTAGCAGGGATGCTGGGGCCACTGCATTGGGCAGCAGCACCACTGTGGAGGCTGGGGCTGCTCAGGGCTCTCCCTCCTGGGATCTGCCCAGAGGAGGAGACACAAGGGCTTGGCATTCTTCAGGAATGTTTGTGTCCCTGATGTGTGCACGCAGGTGGGCGAGGAGGGGACATGGTCATATTCCACTCAACAATACTTTGGGGGCACTCTGACTAAATGTCAGGTATTCTTCTCGGTTCTGGGGGGAAAATGAAAACAAAACAAAACCACTCCTCCTTCTGGGCAAACATGACTTTATTCTGCAGCCAAGTGGAAACCGGTCAGAAAAAGTCATTGTTGGACAGTGAGATGTGTCCAGGAAACACCCGGGGTCTGTTTAGGGTGAGGGCTTAGGAAAGCTTTCGCTGAGAAGGTGGCCTCCGGGAAAGATCTTGCAGGCAGGACGCATTCACTGAGTGCATGTGCACCGAGCAGTGCAGGCAGGCTGGAGAGGGAACTCTGAGAAGGGATGCTAGGCCAGGATTTTCAGTAGAGCAATACGATAATTTGATTCATCTCTTTTTAAAGCCAAGTTTATTCAGGCATAATTTACAAATAATAAAGCCCACCCCTTTCAGTTAGACAATCACGCAGATTTTGGTAACTGTATGTAATTGTATGTTTAACACCAGTCAATAGAGACCAACTCCATCACCTCTGGAGCCAACCCAGAAGCCTCCCCCAAGCCCTGCAATCACTGTTTGTTGCCTTTACAGTGGGCCTTCTGCAGCTCAGGAAGCAGGCACCATTTGTGTCTGATTTCTCTCATGTGACACATGCCTCGAGAGCTTGCTGTGCTGAGCACAATCCCATTGACTGGGGATGCCACATTTGGCTGGCTGGTCCATTCACCAGCTGATGGACATGTGAGTTGTTTTCAGTTTGGGGCAATTGGGACAAGCATTCATCCTCACATAGGCTTTGGTTGGACATAGGTTTTTATTTCTCTTCAATACTGAGTAGCATTGCTGGGCAATATAATAACTGCCTAACTGTTTTCTGAAGTGGCCCTTCCACTTGGCATCCCAGGAGCAGTCCCTAAGACCCAGCTGCTCTGCATGCTTACCAGCACTTAACATTGCTATTAGGATTTCATGGTAAGCATTACGATAAATATGTAATGTCAGATATAGTTGCAGTTTATTTTTAATTTCTCTAATGGGCAGTAACATGAAGCAACTTTACATGTGTTTCTTCTGCCTCCCTTCTGTTTTCTTTGGTGACTTCAAATATTCCGCCCATTACTGAATTGTGGGAGTACTTTACATATTCTAGATACCACTTCTTTATCAGAATTATATTTTGCAAGTGTTTTCTCTGACTCTTTGGAATGTATGTTCTTAAGTGTAACAGTTTACATTTGTTTTTTTGTTTGTTTTGTTTTGTTTTCCTGGGGAAGGACCTGTGAAAGTGCTTGAACATTTTACATTTGTATCGAGTCGATTCATCTGGGTGTAAAAGGATCCCTGCTCCCTGTGTCTCCGATCTCTTTGGTGCCTCCTCTTCACTCTTGGATGTTTATACAAATTTCATAGCGAAGGTAATAGGTAAAGAAGTCTTTTTTCTTCTTTCGACATATTTTTGCTTTACGGTACCATTTGCTAAGAATTGTTCTGGCAGCTTTGCAAGAAAACCAGCCGACCACCTGAATGAGGGTCTCCTGTGGGGTCTGTGTTCCATCCACTCATTCCATCCTCTCGTCAATACCACACTGTGTGATTCATGTAGCTTTATGCTGCTGTTGTTGGGCACCAGCGAAGCAGTTCTGACTCACTGCAACCCTGGGTACAGGAGAGCAGCGCTGCCAGGTCCTGGGCTGTCCACACAAGTGTTCTTGTTTGAGCCTATTAATGCAGGCAGGGTGTCAAACTATCGTTTTGAAGGCCGCTTTTTTTTAGCTGGCCCTCCAGTTTACCAAGAAGTCTTTCTCCCGACAATGTGTCCAAAGCATGTAAGACCAAGTCTGGCCATCTTTGCTCCCAGGAGCATTCTAGCTGTACTTCTTCCAAGACAGACCTGCTTGTTCTTTTGTCAGTCCATGGACCATACTTTAAATGTATTGGCTCTTCTTTAGTCTTCCTGATTATATGCCCAGCTTTCACATGTAAATGAAGCCATTGGAATTTCATGGCTCGGGTCGGGCACATTATTTTAGTCTTCAAAGCAACATTCTTGCTTTTCCACACTTTAAAGAAGTTTTGTGCAGCAGATTGAGCCAAGGCAATGGGTCATTTGACTGCTGCTTCCATGAGCATTGACTGTAAGTCAAAGCAAGATGAAATCCTTGACAGCTTCCATCTTTTCTCCATGTATCACATTACCTAGGGGTCCCATTGCGAGGGTGCTGGTTTCTGTACATTACCTTGTCGTCCACACTGGAGGCTGCAGTCCTTGATCTCCATCAGCACGGTCAGCAAGCAGGGTTGTGTCCTCTGCATATCAAAGGTTGTCAATGAGCCTTTCAGCAGTCCTGACGCCACATTTGTCTTCACATGAACCAGCTTCTCTGTTGATTTGCTCAGCATACAGACTGCTTAAGTATGGTGAGAGGACGGAACCCGGACACATATCTTTCCTGATTTAAACCACGCCGTATTCCCTTGTTCTTTTTGTACAACTGCCTCCTGATCCATGTTCTACATGAGTATAGTATCGTGATGCGGGATTCCCATTCTTTTCAAGGATATTCTTAGTATGTTATGATCCACATAATCAAATGCCGTGGCATTGTCAGTAAAATACAAGTAAACATCTTTCTGGTATACTCTGCGTCAGCCAAGATCCATCAGATATCAGCAGTGATATCCCTAGTTCCACATCCTCTTCTGAATCCAGCCTGAACCTCTGGCGACTCTCTGCCAATGTACTTCTGTGACTTATTAGATGATCTTCAGCAACATTTCACTTGTATGTGATATCAGTGATATCGTTCTACAACTGGAGCATTCTGTTGGCTCACTTTTCTTTGGAAAGGGTACAGATATGGATCTCTTCCAGTCGGTTGTCCAAGTAGCTGTTGTGGTAGTTACCTAATTTCATGTAACTTGATAAATAAGGTGTAGGGTGGAGTCTAGCCTGATGATACCTTCTTGCGGGGGTGACCTTTTCTCTGCCTTCACTTTCCTATTGACGAGTCACTCTGGGACCTGCACAAGACCCAGAGATGCATCCACCCCCATTGGATCCACAGGACTTGACACCCACTGGCCTGTGATCGTCCTGCATTTGCATCATTGCTGTGGCTGCATGAGTTTGAAGAGGGATTTATGAGCTAGTATTGGATTTATGGACAAGTATCAGAATTATGAAACTTGACTTGGACTGGGGTGTTTTCTTGATATCCAAATACTCCTTGATAGAAAGCTCTTTCTTTTTTTTTTTTTAAACA